CACAGTTAAGAACATTGTCCATCCCTAACTTTTTCTTCTTTCCACACCCAGCTTTGTGGCCATCTGAGTAGCATCCTTCAGTACCCTGTTTCTGTAGACCAAGTATTTGTGTCCTCCTAGTTTATATGTTGAAATCCTAACTCCAGTGTGATGGTATTATGACATGGGGCCTTTTGTACTAGGCCATGCTGGTGCGGCCTCCTGGATGAAATCTGTGTCCCAACAGGAAGAGACCTGAGATCATGCTCTCACTCTCTGCTCTCTGCTATGGAGGACACAGCAAGAGATAGCCACTGTAAACCAGGGAGTGGCCCATGCCAGGTGCAGATCTGTTGGTACCTTGATCTTGGCTTTCCAAGAGGTATGAGGATAAGTGTTTGCTGTTTAAGCCACCTAGTCTGCAGTATTTTTGTTACAGCAGACACAATAGACAAACTACCTGTAAATGCTTACAATTAGTCCAACGGGCAATTAATTCACAGTATTGCCACTGCTTCCACCTACTGGCAGCAAGACACAGTGGCTTCAGGCTCACCTGGAATGGTGTGGGACTCGGTGGATGAGTGGTGGTGCTAGAGCTAGAGCAACTGGACGCAGATTGCAGCTCCATGTGATCCCCTCTACAGGCAGGCGGACAGAAGGAAACACACACATCAGCAAAGAAGGGTGTTGCTCAGGGAGGGGGATCTTATAGGGACCCTGATGGCTGTAAGTGTGGCATGAACACCGCCACTCTGAGCTCCTCCTCCTCATAGAGTCCCACAACAGCAGCCCCCAGGATGGGACTACAAGCACCTGCCACAACGCCCGACTAATTTTTGGTTGTAGTTGCCATTGTTGTTTGGCGGGCCCAAGCTGAATTCAAACCCACCAGCTCCGGTGTATGTGGCTGGTGCCCTAGCCACTTGAGCTATAGGCACTGAGCCTCGGTTATCATAAATGTTGTGTTCTTTCCTCGGTTATCATAAATGTTGTGTTCTTTCCCTGGTTATCATAAATGTTGTGTTCTTTCCTCGGTTATCATAAATGTTGTGTTCTTTCCTCGGTTATCATAAATGTTGTGTTCTTTTTCTGCATCATGCAAATGATTCTGTGTTTACTGTTCTTTATCTTATTAATATTTTTGTGTTGAATTAATTGATTTTCAGATGTTAAACCAACTTTGCATTCCTGGAACAATCTCATTTAGTTATGCTGTATGATCCTTTCTCTATAATATGGCCGCACGTGATTTGTTAATGTTTTATTCCTGATATTCGGCTCTGTGTTAACAAATGTTCTTGGCTCATGGCACTCTTCACTTTGAATAACATTGTTTGGCTTTGGCATCAGGTTAATACTGACCTCCTAGAATGAGTTGAGAGGTGTGATTTCCTTCTCTCTTTTGTGAAGAGTTTGTTACATGATTGGTTCTCTCCCCCACCCTTCAATTACTTGGTATAATTCACCAGTGAAGCCATCAGATCCTGGGATTTTCTTTGTGGGGAATTTTTAATTATTAGCTCACTTTCTTTACTTGTTATATGTCTGTTTGGATTTTCTATTTGTGCTTGAATCAGTTTTGGTAATTGTGTTGATAAACTTTTTAAATAAGAAAGCTTATTTCAATCTTAGGACATAATAAAGTATAGAAATGTTTAAAAGACTCAAATCTATAATGTTACTATTCTTGTACTTCAAAGTAATCTGTGAATATTTAGGATTTCATGTTCTTGAATGCATTAGGGACTCTTGTCTTGCTGGAGTCGGCAGGATAAAACCTACAGCCCTTGGGGTCTTAAATATCCTCCTGTACTTAGAAGGTGGGCTTGGCCTCACTGTCCTGATCACCAAGTGAGAAAAACTGAGCCATCTCTGGGAAGATCCTTAGCAAGATTAAACATGAGGATCACTGACAAGTGTCTGGCACAGAGGCAGTACATAGTCAGGTCTGACATCAGGAGTAATAGAGACACCTGGTCATTGAAGCAGCAGGAAAACCCATGGCCTCCTTCTTGTGGACTGCAATGAGGGGCAAATTATGGCTGAGTTTGGGATGGAGCAAGCTGGGGGGCCATGCCAGAATTTCCATCAATAGTGTCTCTAAATCTTCTGAGGTACAATCAGAATAAAAGACTGCTTCTGATATCACTAAAGGTAGCTGTCAACTCTTTCTAATTCTACTTACAACACACACACACACCCCCCAAACACACAGACACCACACACATAACCACACTTACACAAACACATATAACACAATCTTTGCCACATGTGTTTTTCTATAGTTATTCCCCAACATTTGATTATGAAAAACTTTTAACATCCAGGCTGTGGGTGGGGCTCCATGGTGAGAGGTGGAGGGGCAGCCGGTACCTGCTGGGCGGCGCCTTCCTCCATGCTCAAGGAGTCATCTCTTTTCCTCGCCTTGCTGTCTGGCTGCTGCTTCTGTCGCCTCTGTGTTATGTACTCATAGGTGGTCAATCTCTTCGTGACTAGACGGAAAGGAAGACAATGCAGGTCACCAACCTGCAGGCAAGCACAGCCTCCAGATGGAGGTTCAGTGCTGTCTTCCCGGTCCTACCCTCCAGGCCAGGATGGAGCATGGGTGCCAGCTGGGGCAGGGGCACCTCCGTCTATGCCCCACACAAGGTCTCACCTGTCTGCCATTGTAAGTGGGGATGTTAGAAGAGAAACTGCCTCTTGCCTCCTGTGGCGGCAGAAGGTGCTGTCCCAGAACCCTGGATTGCTGGAGGGCAGCTTGGGAAGAGGAAGACCCACTCTGCCCAAGGGCCCAGGCAGCTAGTGGGGGTGCTCATGTCTGGAACTGGGTAGTGTATACTCCAAGGGACACTGGACAGAGGTATCTGGGGGTGGGGCTGGCTGTGCAGGTGCTTTCCTAGGCCCACCACATGGTTGTGTTTCTAGCCTCGCAAAGTGGCCCCTCTTTGAGGTACTTCTTGTTCTCTCCACCAACATTTCAGGGTTTCTTTTTCTTTATTTCTTTTTTTTTGAATTAATGTACATAGCTATGATTTAATTAAAAAAAGAAAAAAAATGGTCTTTTCCTATATCATCCCTTTGAATGAAACATAATAAAAGTTCACTACAATAATCTCAGACTACTTTTATATAAAAACTTCAGAATACATAAAGCATATATTTCAGCTTTCAGAGATGCTATTTAGATTGCACATTTTAAACAGCTACAGCTTTGCTCACAATGGCACAAAGAGGAGTAGCACATGTACACTATTAATATTTCATCCTTTGTTAATAGTCGGAAAGAACTGTGTGGTTTGAAAGGTGCTTTAACTGATGTCTGGTCCTTAAAACGCAGTAAGTAATTCAGGTATGGTCATATAAAGGCAGGTAATTAATCCAATTCACTATAAAACTCAAAGCCATAAAAATAAAGGCAGAAAACTCTGTTTTTCTACCTTTCATTACATTACTGTAGAAAATACAACAATTCTTATATATGGTTTCCCTAGAACATAATGGAGTTTCATAAACTACAAAAGATGACAAGATCCATAGTTGGCTTCTTCAAATGCTTTTCTTGCCCGTTTCAATTCCTCATTCATAGTAAGCAAGTCTTTAACCCTAGCAAACATCCCAGGATCCTCTGAATCATGATGATATCTTCAACTTGTACTCAGACTTTGTCTGCCAATAGACATGGCCTCATGAGTCATTTCAGTAAGGAACTTTATGAGGATTCTGGTCATCTCCAAAGCCGTACATCATACATCTCAATTCTTCAGAAAAAAAGTATCTGTCTTTTACACTGTCCACCTTCTGAACTTCCTCCAATTTCTGCATTTCCTTCCTCAAAAGCAAGGTCTTCCTCCTCATCTGCCACCCCATCAGCCAGCCAGCATACAGCACCCAGCGGGCTCCCTCTCAACAGGTTTCAGGGCTTCTGCAGCCTCACTTCTGGTGACTTCCACATCAAAGTGGGTTTTTATTTTATTTTATTTTTTAACTAAGATAGTTAACAGTTTTATTTTCATATTTCACAATACAAACGAAAACTGCCCAGTTTTTTAGTTTACTTCTTCCCTTCAAAACTATTCTCTCTTTGACAGGAAGGAAGAGCAAGTCTTCTTACCTTGCTATGAAGAAAACACCCAGAGAGACAGCACCACTATCTCCCGGTGAAACAGAACAAGTAATATGAAACTGACAAAGAAAACTCCCCTCTCCCCTTATCTGTCTGGTCAAGTCATTCCAGGATGAGTGGGCACCAACATGGGACCAGCAGGAGGTCTCATCATTGGGGGCCCAGGCATCATTGGCATATGACCTCCCATGGGTGGCCTCATTCCAGGAGCAGGTCCCACTGACATCATCCCAGGAGGAGGACCCATCATTGGCATCATGGGAGGGCCCTCCATATGGGTGGCTGGCATCATACCAGGATGAGGAGGACCTGGCACATAGGGGGGAGGTGGAATCATCGCCCCTGCAGGAGGAGCAGAGAATGGAGTAGGAGGTAGTTTTCCTTGTTGAAATGCATCTGTTGTTTTGTAAGTCAGGCTCTGGGCCCCCTCTTCCATCCATTTCTGATAGTAGTCCCTCACATTCTTTGTGCTTCCTCCCATGCAGTGTGTCTTTCTCACAGATGGAGACTCATGGGTGAGATATGTATCACAGTAGTCACAATAAAACTTGGGATTATTCCCTCCTGGCTGTTGGAAACTCCTTTCTAAATTATGTTTTGTTGGTTTTTTTTTTTTTTTTTTTTTGAGACAGAGCTTCAAGCTGTCATCCTGGGTAGTGTGCCATGACATCCCAGCTCACAGCAACCTCCAACTCCTGGGTTCAAGCGAGTCTCCTGCCTCAGCCTCCCAAGTAGCTGGGGCCACAGGTGCCCGCCACAATGCCCAGCTATTTTTTTGGTTGCAGCCGTCATTGTTGTATGGCAGGCCGGGCTGGATTTGAACCCGCCACCTTAGGTGTACGTGGCTGGCACCTTAGCCACTTTAGCCACAGGCACCGACCCTCTAAATTAGTTCTTAAAAACAAGCCTCCACACCAGTGTGGGAGAAAAGAACAGTAGAGCCGGAGAAAGGAAGTCTGCTGTATTGGTAATAAAGCTCCAAGTTCATTCCATCATGGATTTCATAGTCCCCTAGAGACACATGGTCCATAAAAACCATGTACCACTTCTTAAGGACAATCTTGTTCAAACAGGTACCAGTTTGGGCTGCAATCAGCTTCTTAAGGTCCCCAGTGGTGTCATCAGTGTTGCATTTAACATGGACCTTCTTCCCCAGATGGTCGTTGCAAACAACCTCAGTCATCCCGGCTGGAGCTCCAAACTCAAACTTCCAAACTGCCCGACAGAATAAACTGCAGCCTCAAGTGCTCTGAAGGAAGAGATTTTAAAACCCATGAGAGATTCTTTTGCAATCTCCACACATTTGAAAACCACTGGAAGGCACATCCAATCTCTACTTCAGCCTTTCAGAGCAACACCTATTTCAGGGTTTCTGACAAGTTGGGCCTAAAGTGCAGGATTAACCAGCTTCTCCAGGGGACTTCCCAGAGATTTACCACCACCAGTGGCATCTGACTCCCAAACAGAACCCCTGCCTGCTGGCTCTCCACTGGCTGTATGTGCCCTTGACCTCAACCATCATCCTGAGGCTGCCCCACCCATTCTCCCGGCTCCATCACTCGTATTAAACTTTCCTTCCTTCCTGGGCAATGCTCCTTGTCTCAGTTAAGTGGTTTTCCATCTGGTGGGTGATCGGACAAGGCCCAACCCAATCTGGGCCTCTAAACCTCTGCAAGGACGAGATCAAGAAGGAAATTACCAAATTTTTATAACACAATAATAATGAAGATACGAGTTATTGGAACCTCTGGGATACTGCAAAGGTAGTCCTAAGAGGGAAATTTATAGCATTACAAGCCTTCCTTAAGAGAACAGAAAGAGAGGAAGT